CACTCGCACTCTAGCCTGGACAACAAAGCGAGACTCAATAAAAAAAAAAAAAAAAAAAGAATGGACACCCTAAGGCCTTGATTCTCAGGGGCATGTGTCATTTTTCTTAAAGTTGTAACCTACGGCAACAACCTATCTACATGGGATTTCACAGTAGCAGAGTGAAGTCGTCTTCTTCTGGAACATCATCCTCACTCTCCAAACCCCGAATCCCATCCTGAATGTCTTGCGACTCTGTTTCCTTTAGAACCGTTGGCCTCGATCTCTCCTGTGGAGCCACAGAGCTCTCCCGGGGCGGATGAGAAGGGCTGCTCGTGTTCTTTCCCGCCCCGCGACGACACGCACGGGTTGTGCAGACGCGCTGCGCAGCCACGCCGGTCGCTAGGGCTTATTTTCTGGGTGGGGCTTCCATTGCCCAAATGCTTAGACATCCTGCCAGGGCTTATTTCATGGGTAGGTCTTATTTTCGGGGAAACACGGTAGCTGGCGGATCCCAAACCCACTGCCTGTTCTTTCCTGGTTTGCTTGACAGGAGCCGGCTGACAGGCCCAGTGTGGGTCACCTCTGGCAGTTTCCACGGCAACCCTGAAGGCTGTGGGGGAAGAGCCCCGGGGACGGGTCCCGAGAGGAACTGAGACCTTCAGAGTCATCCTCAGCATCTTCTGGGCTCGGCAGGCGAGAGAAAGGGGCCTCAGGACCCCCAGCTCCCCGGGGTGGGGGTGGGGGTGGGGGCGGCACCGGGCACCTCCCCTCCCCCCGCTTCCCGGGAAGCTGCCGCCTGTCTCCCGGGGCGGCCGAGCTCTGAGCGATTGTGCGATTGCGTTTGTGAATGTGGTCCTCTGGGGCCTGACTCTCATTATAGCCCAAATCCTTTCTAGCAGCTTTCAGGGAAATAATTTGTGCAGTGAAGTAGGGGGAGGGGTGTCTTAGGGCTGCAAGGGTTTCCGGATTCGGGGCACAGGAGGGTGTGTCTATCTGCCCCCTGGGACCCACCTGGGGCCTTGGCGCTTTCTTAAAAGGGAGATCACAGGGTGCAGTTCAGGGCACCCTAAAATCAAAGGTCCCCCAACAACTTTGCAAGGACCTTTTCTCCTGGTAACTGCTCAGCTCCCAATTGTCCATTATGCATTCTTTTTATTTTTCTTTTTTTTCCCTTGAGACGGAGTCTCACTCTGTTGCCCAGGCTAGAGTGAGTGCCGTGGCGTCAGCCTAGCTCACAGCAACCTCCAACTCCTGGGCTCAAGCGATCCTCCTGCCTCAGCCTCCTCCCGAGTAGCTGGGGCGACAGGCATGCGCCACCATGCCCGGCTGTTTTTTTCTATATATATTAGTTGGCCAATTAATTTCTTTCCATTTATAGTAGAGACAGGGGTCTCACTCTAGCTCAGGCTGGTTCAACTCGCTGAGGCTCGAGCGATCATCCCCCTCGGGCCTCCCAGAGTGCTAGGATTACAGGGGTGAGCCACCTCGCCCGGCCTGGGGCACCCTTAAATCAAAAGTTCCCCAACAACTTTGCAAGGACCCTTTTCTCCTGGTAACTCTGCTCAGCTCCCAATTGTCCATTATGCGTTTTTTTTTTTTTTTTTGAGACAGAGTCTCACTCTGATGCCCAGGCTAGAGTGCCATGGCTTCAGCCCAGCTCACAGCTACCTCAGACTCCTGGGCTCAAACGATCCTCCTCCCTCAGCCTCCTCCCAAGTAGCCGGGACAACAGGCATGCACCACCATGCCCGGCTAATTTTTTCTATATATTTTTAGTTGGCCAATTCATTTCTTTCTATTTTTTTTTTAAATAGAGACGGGGGTCTCCCTCTTGCTCAGGCTGGTTTCGAACTCCTGACCTTGAGGGATCCGCCCGCCTCGGCCTCCCAGAGTGCCAGGATTACAGGCGTGAGCCACCGCGCCCGGCCCAGAGCCTTTAAAAATCAGTTACCACTGCTAACGAATTTGGGCGCTTTCAGACAAGAATGGGGAGTTCCACTTTTCCTGGAACTTGCCCTATGGGACGGGTGGAAGCCGGGCTGAGGCTTGGGGCTGGCAGGTCTGGGGTCCTGGGCAGAAGGTCAGGGGGCCGGCTGTGCAGAAGGTTCTCGTCCTCCTCCTGTCCCTCCTGGGACCGCAGGGCTCTGGCCGGTGTGTGGAAGCCTGCCATGCCTCCCAGAGCCAGTTCCAATGTTGAGGAATAAGCTGCCCCGTGGTGGGTTGCCTCCTGCCTAGATCTTAAGAGGGCCCCTGCTGCTCTAAGTACTGTGTGTTTTTCCTGATGGAGATAAAAAAATGACTAGCCCGGAGCTCCACAGCCACCGATCCTAGTGCATTGGGGAAATAGAGTTAAAAGCAGCCGGAAGGGGACGGATGGGACTAAAACACTGGGATTTTCTCATTCCCGTTCATTTAGCGTTTTCCAAGGCACTTCAGCTCCTCATATGTTAACATTAAGTGCCAGACAATTAAGGTAGGAGTGGGAGGATGGGGCGGGCATGGGCAGCTTCTCCTCCTTCCAAAGACCCCTGTCTCCTGGGTGGGGCTGCAGGGACGGACGGGCTGTGGAGAGGCTGACCTCCAAACAGACTCCTCCCGTCCCTGCATTTGGGACTGCTCTATGGGAGGGTTGAGGACTCCAGGGAATGTTCTGTACCTCCCTGTGCAATATCATTCCCTCCTTAGCCTGATTCTGGTGTGCCTGCCATTCCACCAGCAGGGCCCGCACTGGCCTGCCGGGGTGTGGGCTCTCCCCCGTTTATTAGCTGCTGGCTCTGGCCGAGTTAACTCTCTGCTCTGAGTCCCAGCGTTTCCACTGCACAGTGGAGACGGGACCGGGGGGAGTCTCCCCGAGTCGTATAAAAGCCACTGGGGGATGAGCTCTGTGAGTGGCCGAGCAGGTGCCCACAGGAGGGACACAGAGTCACGCCCACGTGGTGGGTGTTTTAGGGGACACCTGGTCCCACATCCTCAAGTGCATCAGGGGGCCTGTGATAATTTGGCTACGGGGGTAGGGGAGAGGACAGCCACCTCCATTTCCAGAGATATTTCAGGGAGAACAAGAAGGCTGAGTTTTATCTCCTGTTGCAGCCCTTGTCCTCGGGGGAGCCTGGCAGAAGGATGGAAGCTTCCAGAACCCTCGCCTCTGGAGGCCAGGGGTGGCTGCACTGATACCAGCTGCAAATTTGCTCGTTCACTTATCGGCTCCCCCAGAAACCTGCCCTGGACCCGTCACCCCGGGAGCTGGCCCCGTGTCGGAAATGTCCGCGGTCCAGGCTTTTAAATCACGGCAGCTCAGCAAGGTGCTTTTAGAAAGAGCGTTTACTGTTTCTGTGCGGCTTGTAATCGTCATGCATGCTTATTGGGGATAATTTAGGAAATACGAACAAATGCAAATAAGAGACGCAAATGCACATGCCCCACCCTGAGACGGCTGATGCAAACATGCTGGTGAATTTCCACCTAATCTTTTCCTTCCCACCTCATCCCTTCCTTCTTTTTCTTACCTTTGTGATGAAATAATTCAAACAACATGAGCGACATATGGGAAAACACAGCAATGATCCCTGTTTCCTTGCCCACCTGTATTTTTAATCTCCTCCCTTCCTCTCTGCTTTTAATCCTCGTTCTTCTTTCTTGAGGAAAATGGTGCCAGGGCTAAAGCCTGCTTTCCACCACCCCTCTGCCCGGGGCCATGCCTTGGAGTGGAGTGAGACCTTCCTTGTCAGATTTCCACACTTTTGCCCCGTATGTGTGTATCCCTGAACAATATATGTAATTGTTGTGTGTGATCCACATGTTAAGAAAATGGTGTCATATGATATGTGCATACTTGCAACTTTATTTATTTTTTTTTATGCAACATCATGCTTTTTTGAGCTTTATCCCTGTCGAGATAATCCAGTTCACTCATTTCACTAGTGGGGTTATGTTTTGTCTTGTGAATATGCTACAATTGTTGTCCACGTTCCTGTGGATGGACTTCACACTACAGCAAGAACCAACCTTGAGCAGATCTCCCTGACCTGCACACTACATTCCTCTTTGGCACTCGGAGGTGCAATTACAGAGCATAATAGGGTGCCTGCACTCTCTCCCTTATTTTATTTTGCCAAATTGTTTTTGAAGGTGGTTACATGAGTTTTAATTTCCACCAGCACCTTGTGAATGCTTTCATTTCCCCTCGACTACAACTGCCACTTGATATTGACAGATTAAAAAAATTTTTTTAGCCAATCTGGTTGATATGCTCTGATACAGAATTGCATCTCATTGTTTTGATTTGCATTTTTTCTGAATATTAGCAGAATCGAGCAGCATTTCATATGCGTTGGTTCATTAGAGTTTTATCTCTTGTGAATGTGACCATTAAACTATTTGTTTCTAATTGCCTTGTAGGAGACTTTCATTGACACGTCTTTGATATCAATTTGCCATGTTGATTATACGTGTTGGGATATATAATCCTAGATTACGACTTATCTTTTGCCTTTGTTGAGAATATCTTGAGCACACTGAAGTTTTAAAATTTTAATGTAATCACATTTATCATTTTATTCTTTTTGATGGTGTGTGTTCTTTTTTTTTTTTTTTTTTTTTTTATTGAGACAGGTTGGCACTTTGTTGTGCCCAGGCTAGAGTGAGTTGCCGTGGCGTCAGCGCTAGCTCACAGCAGCCTCGACTCTGGGCTCACGCGATCCTCCCTGCTCAGGCTCCCGAGTAGCCTCGCGGGACTACGGCATGCGGCCAGCCATGCCCGGCTGATTTTATTCTACGTGTATTATTGGTGGCAATTACATTTCTTTTATATTATTAGTAGGATGAGGGGGTCTCGCTCTTGCTCGGCTGGTTTCGGACTCCTGAAACCTGGAGCAATCCGCCGCCTTCAGCCTCCCAGAGTGCTTTAGGATTATTAGCGTGCAGTCACCATACCCGGCCGGTGTGTGTTCTTGATATTGTCTTTAAGAAATTCTAAGGCCGGGTGCAGTGGTTCATGCCTGTAATCCTAGCACTCTGAGAGGCCGAGGCGGGTGGATAGCTCAGACTAGGATTTCCGAGACCGCGCTGAGTTAAGCAAGGCCCCGTCTTACTAAAAATAGAAAAAAAATAGCTAGGCAACTAAAATACATATAATAAAAAATTACGCCGGCGCATGGTGGCGCATGCCTGTAGTTCCCAGCTGACCAGTTAGGCTAGGCGGAAGGAGAATCGCTTGAGCCCAGTAGTTTGAGGTATGCGCTGAGCGTGGGCTTGCACACGGCACTCAATTCTGATCCTGCGGCAACAAGAGGTGGAGACTCTGTCTCAAAAGCAAAAAACAAAAGCGCAAACAAAGAGCAACAAAAAAATAAAAGGTAAAGAATTTTTTATTTAAAATTTTTTCAAAAAAAGAAATGAAACGAAAATTAAAAATAATTCTTGATATTGACATCGCAAATACACAGAAATTAAAGAAGTGGAATTCTTAAGCAGGAAGATAAAGAAGTGGATACATGGAACTAGAAGTTTCTGCCCAGCAAAGGAAGCAATCAACGAGATGAAAAGGAAACCTCTGGAATGGGAGAAGATATTTGCCAATCACATATCGGATGGAGGGCTAACATCTAAAATACACGAGGAACTCACACAACTCAATAGCAAAAATACAAATAGCCCTACTTGCACTGGGCAAAGGACCTGAATAGACTTTCTCAAAGAAACGAGCAAATGGCCAGCAGGTATATGAAAAGGTGCTCAAGGTCACTAATCACGAGACGGACGCAAACCCAAACCGCAATGGCATTGCCCCTCACGCCTGTTAGGAAGGCTGTTATCCAAAAGACAAGAGATAAGGAGCATCAGTGAGAATGTGGAGAAAAGGGAACCCTGTGCATTGTTGGTGGGGATGTAAACGGGTGTAGCCGTGATGGAAAGCAGCACCGAGTCTCCTCAAAAAATTAAAAGCAGGACTGCTCTGTGATTCAGCGATCCCACCGCTGGGCACAGAGTAGAAGGAAATGAAATCAGTATGTCAGAGAGAGAGAGAGAGAGAGAGAGAGATCTGCTGTGTTCATTGCAGCATTTTCCCTAATAGCCAAGAAATGGAAACAACCTGAGTATCTGTCACAGGATGAATGATAAAAGGAGATGCGGCGTGTATATGCAAGATGGAAAACTTGAGGGAATTATCCTGAGTGAAATAAGTCAGGCAGAAAAAAGACAGATACTATAGGATCTCGTTTATATGTGGAACTCGGAGGAACAGAGCGAGACGGTGATTTTGCAGGCTGGGGGGGGTGGGGAAAATTGGGTAGATGTCGGTCAAAGGGTGCAAACTTCCAGTTGCAAGACGAATAACTTCTAGGCATCGAATGAATAGCACGATGACGCAGCTGATAATACCGTATGGTATGCGGGAAATCTGCTGCGGGACTAGATCTTAAATACTCTCACCCGCAGCCAAGGTGACCTGTGAGGTGAAGAAAGAGTGTGTTAGCTGACTTAATGGTGATAATAATTGCCCAATAAACATGCACACCAAGGTGTGCATCATGTCGCACACCTTAAATATGTACGAATTTACCCGTCAAATAAATATACTTCCCTAAATCTGGGGAAAGAAAGTGAAATTCTCTAAATCTTTGCGTATTTTCACACTTACGATTTTATAAAATTTAGAATGCTTTTTTTTGTAAACAGTGAAACGTAGGAATATATATATATATATAGTGTGTATATAGCTATATAAAATATACAAAATATAAAATAAAATAAATATATATAAAATAAATAAATAAAAATATGAAATAAATATTTTTATATGTACACATGGAGAAATAACATATCAGCACCTCTGCATTTTATATGCATGTGCACATACACAGATGTACATACGTGTACAGGTTTCAGTGCTTTCTCCGTGTGCCACGGATCTGCTTGTCTTCCCGCATAACACACGTGGTTTCCATGACGTTGGTTCTTATGACAGATCTCCTGACCTGACCACCCTTTACGTTCTTCATTCTTCCTTTCTAAAATCATCTCGTCTGCCTTTTTGCCCCCACCTGCGAGAACTGTAAGATCAGGTGGCCAAGCTCCATCTAAGAAGTGTTCCCATCTTAATAGGACTACTTTTGATTTTATAGTTTAATAGAAGAAAATTTGACATCTTTGTAACAGTGAGTCTTCTCATCAATGAACATAGTATATATTTTCATTTATTCTGGTGTTTTTATTTTCTTTGTAATATTTTTCATAAATACATTAAACAGCTTTTTTTGTTTTTATTTCTAGTTTTTAATCGATACTACGAGTGTTACTTTTAAAAATGACATTTTCTGGCCGGGTGCAGTGGCTCACGCCTGTAATCCTGGCACTCTGGGAGGCCGAGGCGGGAGGATCGCTTGAGGTCAGGAGTTCGAGACCAGCCTCAGCAAGAGCGAGACCCCTGTCTCTACTAAAAAATAGAAAGCAATTAGCTGGACAACTAAAAATATATAGAAAAAAATGATCCGGGCATGGTGGCACATGCCTGTAGCCCCAGCTACTCGGGAGGCTGAGGCAGGAGGATCCCTTGAGCCCAGGAATTTGAGGTTGCTGTGAGCGAGGCTGATGCCAGGGCACTCACTCTAGCCTGGGCAACACAGTAAGACTCTGTTTTAAAAACAGATATTTTCTAATGTTTTATTGCTGAATTCCAGAAAAACTATTGCTTTTGTGTGCTGGTCCTGATTCCATGATTCTTGATGAACCATCTTATTATATATAATATATAATATATGCAGATATATTTATATACACATGGGTGTGAACAAGTCTGTCCTTGTCTTCTGGTACTGTCTTTATCTGGTTTTGGTGTTGAAGGTATAGTAGTCCCATAACATGAATGGGATATTTTCCCTTTTTCTGTTCACTGAAATAAGGTTTGTTTATTTATTTATTTATTTTGTATTTTTCTGAGAAAGAGTCTCGCTCTGTTGCCCGGGCTAGAGTGAGTGCCGTGGCGTCAGCCTCGCTCACAGCAACCTCAGACTCCCTGAGCTCAAGCGATCCTCCTGCCTCAGCCTCCCCCCGAGTAGCTTGGACTACAGGCACGTGACACCGCGCCCGGCTGATTTTTTTCTATATATATATCAGTTGGCCAGTTAATTTCTTTCTATTTATAATAGAGACAGGGTCTCACTCTTGCTCAGGTTGGTTTCGAACTCCTGAGCTCAAATGATCCTCCTGCCTCAGCCTCCCATAGTGTTAGGATTACAGGCGTGAGCCACCCGCGCCCTGCCTGAAATAAGGTTTTTATGAAATTGTTTTTACTAACAGGGTGGTATGTTTAGAATCTAGGAAAGATTTGCATGTAAAACCATTTTGGCTTGCTGTATGTTGAGGAAGGAGCTTTTTGGCTGGCAAAATATACAATTTGTTTAACGGTTCTTTGAACATCCAAGTTTCCCTTCTCGTTTTGAGTCAGTATCAGTCATTTATATTTTTCTCAGAAATTGTCTCTATCAAGTATATTTTCAAAATTACTGGCATGAAGTCATTCATGTTGTTTTCTTATGATTGCAAAATATTGTTTCTGCGTCTGTGATGCTCTGTCTCCTTCGTGTTCAATGCCGTTTCTATAATAAAATTGTTTTTGCTCATTTTAAATTTACACATGGTAAAATGTATCCTTTTTGGCGGACAGTTCTGTGAGTTTTGACAAATGTGACTCCCACCACGGTCAGGATATGTAGTGGAGACCCATCAACTCCCCCCACCCTGAGCCAATCACCTCTTTTTTTTTTTTTTTTTAAAAAAAAGAGAGAGATTATATATTAGTTGACCAATTAATTTCTTTCTATTATAGTAGGAGGGTCTCGCTCTTGCTCAGGCTGGTTTTGAACTCCTGACTTTGAGCAATCTGCCGCCTCGGCTCCCAGAGAGCTAGGATACGCGTGACACCGCCCCCGGCCCAATCACCTCTTTTAATTAACTACTTTTCTTATCCTTAACCTCTAGCAACTATCCTCTTATTTTGGCTCTTCCAAAATGTCATATGAATAGAATCATACAATATGTATGTAGCCTTGTGAGTTTGCTATAAAGCAATATAATGCATTTGAAATTGATTCATGTTGTATCTTCAAAATCGTATTTTTTTTTTTTTTTTGAACAGAGTCTCTCTGTTGCCCAGCTAGAGGAGTGCCATGGCTCAGCCTCACTCACAGCAACCTCAAACTCCTGGGCTCAAGGATCCTCCTGCCTCAGCCTCCCAAAGTAGCTGGGACTAACAGGCATGCGCCACCATGCCCGGCTAATTTTTTTTTTTTTGTATATATATTTTTAGTTGGTCAATTAATTTCTTTCTACTTTTGGTAGAGACGGGGGTCTTGCTCAGGCTGGTTTCGAACTCCTGACCTTGAGCAATCCGCCCGCCTCGGCCTCCCAGAGAGCTAGG